AACTCAATTATAACAATCTGCCTTGTCGTGTGGTATGCACTAGTCTAGATGATTCCAGGTCTGAACTCTGCCTGCAGTTCTGTAGAAAGATTGGGCTAGGATGCAATCTTCAAGTTTGATAGAACGTCGTAAACCTATTAAACAATCTGTGACATTTCTACCTTTTTAGACTTCCAGCATCGACATAAACTAACTTTCTCTCCTGGTGGCACAGTCTTTATCAGTTCCTCTAGATCAAGTACATCAGAGACTTTCTTTTCATCTTTCCTGATGGATGGATTGATAGGTCGTCCTTTGCAACATGACCCTCTGTGTTTGTAAAAAATGTAGGCTAGCAAGCCCACCCCTGCAGCAGCAGACACAGCATAAACTATGTTTTGTTTCAATGAATCTGCAACACAAAGGTTTCATTATTTTTTTTCTACACATTTTAAGCTATGATAAGCAAAAGACAAAGGATTGGAGAAAGTTGGTCAACAGATCTGTTGTGGTGCCCCCAAAGATCCAGCAGACTAAGGGATAGGTGAAGGATGCTGTAACTTTTTAAAAAATCATCTATGTAAAGATTGGGGGATTATTAAATAAATTCAAATAGTTGTAGGCCTACAACATCTGGTGTTTAGGAGTCTTCAGATGTTTTTTTGAGAATTGAAGATACTTAGCACGAAACTCCTGCAGGATGTTGGCCAGGCAGGGGATGGCGGGCTACAGTGTTCAAACCCAGGGTTCCTGAAGACCTTGAAGATTTTAAGCACTAATAATGCAATAAAATGAATGCTGTTAAAAGTAAACTCAATGAGTTTTGGAAATATAAGGAACATTAAACAGAACTAAGACTAGATCTATATAAGCAGGTAAACAATTAACAATTATAAGAATAATAAGCCTTATTATATAACATATGATAAGGGATTGAGATTGTCTTGCCATGATTCTTAAGATTTAACAAAAGTTTTGAAAAGGTAGATCTTTTCAAATATATAAAGCCCACCTATAGTTCTATAGATTTTTAGGGGAAATTTAAGCATAGCACTTTTACAGTTTTGAAAAGGTAGATCTTTTCAAATATATAAAGCCCACCTATAGTCCTATAGATTTTTAGGGGAAAGCATAGCACATTTACACAGTTTTGAAAAGGTAGATCTTTTCAAATATATAAAGCCCACCTATAGATTTTTAGGGGAAAGCATATATAGCACATTTACAATGACAATGTATCTGGAGATAGACTCCTCAGTTCCCAAGGCCGGCAAAGGTAAGATCTAGACTCTAGAATAAATACTACATACTTTTAGACTCATTTTTGAGTCATTATTTATAGACTACACGTCGTCACTTGACTACAGTAACACTAACACTCAGTAACAGGTAAGAGTACTAGTAAGACAAGACAATGTTACAAGGGCATTTTATCATAAATAAGTATGGACTCTAGTCTCTATATAGTAAGAGTATTTTTAGCTAACTTAAAGTTCTAAAAGTGTAGTAAAAGCCGTTCTAAAATTTTGTTCTTATTTTTAGACTAAATCTATATCTAGGTCTAGGTAACGATTACCATCTCTAAATGGTTTCGACATAATAATGAAAATAGAATCTATAAAAACGAATGAAAACACATTTGAACTTTCAACCGGAATAAGAACATTTTGTGACTTTTTTTTAAGTCAACAATAATAGTTGTTGCATCATAGGTCGTCCAGATCTTTTGTATTACACCGGTATTTTTATAGATCTATTCTAATGCTATATTTAGAACGATCTAGACTCAGATTTATTGACGGATCTAAAAATCAAAGTTGTTGTTGTTTTTTTTACTAACTAGAAAAGTGGATGAATCTGGATCTATTTTCCCGTTGTTTTTTTTTCAATTGTGTCAGCAAGTTTGATTAATAACAACTAAAGCCACATTGGCATATTACAATGCGACTACACCGTCTATGGTCTATATATAAACAAGTTGTGATTCAGCAAAATTTTACTATCGGTTCAAAAGTAAAAATAGGTTACAATTCTTTATGATTATGCAAATGTTTAGAATAGACGAAAGTAAAAAGTCTAGGATAACCTACTGAATTAATATTAAGAAAATAATCCAAATTAATAGAAATCCCTAATAAAATTAATGATATTGATCTATTATATGAAATATAAGAAATGTTACTGTCGATAACTAGATTTAAATTTTAATAGACTACGCATGTCTCACAGTCAGCATGGCCATGGGTATAATCAAATGTCTGCTTGTTAATGATTTATTAATATTATAAACACACACACTATTATGAGACAATACAAATCAAAGTAAGACATGACCAACACTAAAAATTTGTTAAAAATTGGACCTACCTGTGACAGTCATGATAGTGACAACTTTCTGATAGTAGTGTTGTGTCGTAAAATTAACTCCTGGCTAAAATATGCTATTTTATTATCATGAATATTTAGTAACATATCTTTGACCTAATCACCCAGTGCGCAAGACAAGTGGTATTTCCATGTCCACGAACTATAACTCGAGCTATGCTTTTTTAAAAAATGTAGATAAACGTGCCAGTCCTCATGTGAATGTATTTATCTCTTGTCTACGTTTTGTAAACGGTAGTTTGCTGATCTTTAAGACCATGTGCTCTTGTGTTTTAGTCACGTGACCACCACCCCCCACCCTTTTTCGACATGTAGGCCAACATATTTGTGAATATGCTGGACCAAAAATACAAGGGAGGGTCGAAAGGGAGAATACAAATAATCTATAGATAGATACGTTGAAAAAAAGTATTTTTTTTTTACTAGATCTATATTTTCCTATTATTATTTTTTTTTTGGACTTATAAGAACACTAATGCGCTCTTCTAATCAGTGGCGTAGCTAGGGATTTACCATCATTTGGGGCCCCGGGTGGCTTGACCTCTTATTTAGGGGCCCCTACATTTTGACATTCGACATCATGACATGGCATAATGGCGTAATAATTAATGTAAAAAAAATATTCGAACACTCAAGCGGGGACCCGACCCCCCCCCCCCCCATTCCCCCATAGCAATAGGCTACCAATGCTTCTAATCGAAGGATCGCTATGCTAAGTCTTTTCTAAAATGAGTCCAGGGCCTACAGACCAGGGTTAGCAGACACCTGCACGCCTAAAGGAGGACAAAACAAAAAAAAAAAGAAAGGCCTAGACGACAACGGAGGAGAATTTAGAAACTAGATCAGGGGTTCTCAGCCTGTGGGTCGCGACCCCTTTGGGGATCGCTTGACAATTTGCCAGGGGTCGCCTAAGAACATCGAAAAAAATGGATTTTTTGGTCTATTCTTCTAATGCTGTAGGGGGGTGTCGCGGCAGAGTGGGGGATTGTAAAAAAAAAGGGGTCGCCGAACCTAAAAGGTTGAGAACCGCTGAACTAGACTTACAGTGTAGTTGGACAGTAAAATATTGGGCTACTATAATTGTCTCAGTTAAAACGGCCTTTTGCGATCGTTCATTAATCGCGCAAACAGAAATGTAATAAATATGGAACTAAATGCACATTTTCTTTTTTTTTTTTTATATTTAATTTGCGAAAATAAATCATGAAAGTAGAAAGTTGATTTCTCTTGTCCACTGGGCGCTGAGCACCAACATTGCACTATCAGCGTAAGTATTATACACGGGAATGCAAATGGGAAAATAACATACATTGAAGAGCTCTAGGCTCAACTAGGCTGACTAACAAGTTTCTTTGGAACAGACTTAAATATATGATATTATGATCACCTGCTCATGAAGGAGGTGGTCAAAAAGTGTGCAATCTTTTACTATTTTTGAATGAATTAAACCAGAACATATTGTAATAACTGTGCACCTGCGCCGACGCTTATGGTGCGAACCAGTGTACTGTTCAGCATGGAATATGAACGGATTTAGAAGAGCCAGAAGAGAAAGTTGATTTCCCGCCTGATTAAAAGGAGAAACAGAAGTATAATTAAAGCTTGGTTCGATTCGCCTAATTTACTAATTTAGAAGAGATTATTGAGGAACAGTTAATGTCCTCTGTGGGATTATTTGGACAAGAAGGTGCATGAAAAACAGTGGAAGGGTTGTCCCTGCTATGAAAGACATTCCTGGGGGTTTGAGAAGGCAACCAGCCAGAGAGAATTGAGAGCGGACCGTGATAGTGTAGAAGGCAATATAGGCGGCGATAGTAAACCTTGTAGGAAAGAAAAAAACATGCGGCGACACGTAATGATGTAGACAAGATATTGTTGATTATCATGAACGAATAATAACAAACTCTGGATATAACTTATAAGACATGAAATCAGCTGTTTAATCTAACGCCATCTTGGTTGACAACAACAGTTACAAGGGATGTTACTCCCAAACACCGAATGGTGCAACCTATATAAACCACACATCAACAGATATGACGATTAAAACTGATTTGTTTGTGATGGCATTTTATGTCTCGAGAGACTATCTTTTCCTTTTGCAACTTCTTCTGTGACTAAAAACACCAATCCTTGATACACAGCTGCGGTCACAGGTTAGGCATATGTCATCACCAGGAGCTGTTGCATTTTCACCCTTCTTTCTACTACTGTTGTGCATGGCATCTGCAACCCGGGACCTTCCTTTATGCTCACTCTCCGTGTGGATCTATCCAGTGCCACATTTTCCCTGCTGCTAATGTCGATATTTTTTTTTTACACTTTAGGGCGGTCACGATAGGGCGTCTGGTTGCCCTAGTTAGGGCTAGTACAAACAGTTCCTGCATATAAAATAAAAGCTTCAGTGTACGTAGACCTAGATCTCATGTTTAATGCTATTCAAGCAAGAAATATAGTCAGGCCTACTTGCTATATAACTGATACAATTTATTAAAACCTCGAAAGGGGAATACTGCCAGATTTTCTTGCATCGTGTTTCTTTACCAATCGAAGCCCGAATCAATTAATTCGTTGCCTGTTCACTACGACATTAAACTTTATATTTAGCTTTTACCAATTAAAAAAACAACAACATATTTTTGTGTTAAAATGAAATTATTTTATTTTATTTTTTTTTGCCATGATTAAAAAAAAACCTGTGTAAATATTCATGAAAAAAATGTGCAATAGGCTATATTTGTTTTTTTAGTCAAACGGAATTATCTAAACCACAATGAGTAAATGAACTAGCGTACACCAATGTTCATATATTTTTAGGAATAGGCCTGTTCTGCAACAGTTACCTGTATATCTTTGTGATGTTCACACTTGCCGAGGATCATAGTATCAAACTTGATAATTCAATGAAGTGAAGAAACATCTCTGTATTTACTTCCAAACTTCCTTAATAATACTTCTTCAACTTTCACAACAAATTAACTTCTCAATTCAATTACAACTTGACTTTATACTTCATAAATAACACATACATGAAACTTCACTTAGTAGGCCTATAACATTCAGCTTCAAATAATAATATTACTTCAACTAATAAAACTTTAATTAATGGACCCCTAATATCACAAAACTTATAACTCTATTAAACCATTACTAATCGAAGGCTAAGCGAGGACCATCGCTCTACAAGAACTACTACTATGAGAGGATCTCGTCTAACTGACTTTCCCCCAATTTATACTTTTTTAAATCTTACATTCCAGAATCATGGAAACTTCTCCGATAATAATAATAATGGCTGAATAATAATAATAATAATAAATTCGCCCTTGTGGAGCGTCACCAGAGAATGCTGACCATATCCTCAAAGCTGAATAAGAGGCCTAAACAGTCATTGGCCCCAACCCCCCCCCCCCCCCCACACACACACACACATACACACCAATAGAAGAAAAACTATATGGAGAGCTGCCTGGCATGGAAACTACTGCGCAGCTCATCTGAGATATAGAGGAAATCACCAGAACACTCCAACATATGAATGATAGCCTAATGAAGTAGTAAACAGGTTAGATCTGGTTTTAGCTGCCAGACACGATGAAGACGACTTTTTCCTTTTAACTTCTAGAAAATAAACTTTTTATTTTAAAGCAGTCGTCTTGTTCATTGTATTTACCTTGAGTTATTTAATAAGTAAATCAAGTGAATTCGTTACTGAACTGACGCGTAAGAAACAGTTATTTAAATATAGCGACTTCCAGTCTATTTGTTTTTCTTCCTGTAATATCATTTCTTTCAGTGTCAGATGTATGTCCCGCACTTTGTAATCATTTGAATATATATAACAATCAAATCTTTTTTGGCTGAACTGAATGTCACTCGTAATTATTATTGAATATTGCCCATAATAGGATAAAATTGAGTATTTTGGATTTTTTTATATAAAAAAAAAAAGATAGCAAGATAAGAAAATGTTTGAGTAACAGTGTAATATCATTCAGTAATTTGCTTCAAAGAATTATTACGAGCACATCATATGACAATTTTCCTGTCTAAGTAATTTGCATGGAACTTCAAATACAGAGGGACTTTGTGAATAAAGTATTTAAAACAAATTAAAAGTAACAATGAAAATGTTACAAAAGCACAAAAAAAACAGTAAAATAAAAAAAAAATCATAATTAGAAAATGGGGGGGGGGGGGGGGAGAGAAAAAAAATAATAATATCAAATTGGAGGAGGATAAATGGAAACAAAATTATAAAATTAACTAATGGGGAAAATGAATATGTAATAACGAAATCAAATTAGAAGGGAAAAAGGAGTATCAAAGTTTTAGTTAATATGTTCATTGCAACTCAATTACAAAACATTAAGTCTGCTTTAATATCATTCACATTATCATTATAAGGAACTTCGATGCTCAGCAGAAGTATGTTGGAATGGAATGTGCGTTTCTGTATTAGTATGTGCAGTTTTGTTTAATTGCAGAAACACATTTGATCTTATAAAAAAGGATATGGCACATGCACGTAGACCTTCATTGTTTTTCTCTGTGCACTTGTATTCTTTAGTGCACACATTAAAGTTTTATGTTCTCAAATGTGCATCCAATACTTTGTAAGCTTTTATGAGCGACCTCAAGCCCTTTCTGGATACAAGAATCTGGATCTTTGTCTTGAAGCAGCTCGGACAAAAAACCTGGCAACATTTAAAAATGTCTAACGTAACTTTTGGTTCATATAAAATAAATTCAAGGCTATGTATCCGTACTTCTTTAGATATTTTATTAGCCACATAAATAGTGTACCCCCTTTTCTCTAAAGAGTATATAAGAATATTATTTTAATGTAAGGTAGACATAGCCCGTTGACACGGTCAAAGATAGACACACAAAGTAACATCTTTCGTTTTCTCCCAAATGTGGCAGGTGAAGTCCAGAACATCCCATGATTCCGAGGAAACAAATTTAGTACCGGTAGTAATCATAATGTGATTATAATGTGATCATAATCATAATGTCTTGAGGTGGCATATATGTCGGTCACAGCTGGGGCTGCGTAGCCATGAGAAATACTGAACTCCTCATTAATCTTCAGACTCGAAGACAAGCCTTATTATCATTATCGAAAGAAAACTTCATAATTAAAATTTACAATAATGATGAAACTTGGTCTTCCATTCAGAAGATTTCAGAATGTTAAAGACTCCAAACGCTAAGAGATGTATTGTCCAACCCTCCTAGGTATTGGCATATCTTCTGCCTCCTTGGAATATGCTACTGTCTGTTGCCAGGTGTAAGATATTATGAATCGAAAAGCCCTTTCTTTTCTTCTATATACAAAACTTATATATATCAACTCTGTCTCTCATTTCCCTAGTAACTATCTAACGATCTGACTCTTTGGTCTGGTACTAAAAGTGAAGTGGAAGAAGTGAGACTTTTTATATCGCGTGCGTTAATTTCAGTTCCCAGGAGTGTAAATAAATTAGCATAACTAACCAATACCTACCATAACTATAAATATTTTCAAATAAACACTTAGACATAGGCTTATAATAAAGGCAAATAGTTTAGATAAAAGACTAAATCAATAGTTGGCCTCAGAAACAAATTGACTTTATTTTTTAAGTTTAAGAATGGAGATTGTTTTCATTTGTGTTAACATAGATCTATATAGTTGTCTACACATTATATCTCTGTATTAGCTGACATTTTTCAAGTGAAGGTCAATTACTTTTTAATTGACCGAGGGAGACATTTTAATTATCTAACTTATCTTTTTTTAAATATTTTAGTACGCCCATAAAACACACACACACACACATACATACACACTCTCTTTTATAATGGTGTAAATTAGAATTGAACTTATACCTCCAACAAAGCAATCTCCGGCGCCATTGGTGTCCACAATAGTTTCTAGGGGTATTGTCTCGTATTCTTTGACCACGCCGTCTGTAACAATAGAATGTATCAATATTTATTTCTTACTATATATGTATAACACTTATAGATATATACGTAACGACTAGTCGACTATTATTTACAAGCCCAGAGCGCGTTACATTCGGACTTAAATATAGAGCCTAACGTTATCTTGAAAGAAAAGACAAACCGGCAGATCCAACTTAAAATGTATTGAGTTCGTGTTTTATTCATCAGACTGAGTACTTATCGTTAAGTTCAAATAACTTCATCCTCAAACTTAATTTGAGTGAGGGCTTGAGAGTCTTAAATCGTCTCTCGCAAAAGTGCTGGACAGAAACCCTGCTGTTTTGCGTAGTGCGTACCTGTCACCCTACAGGTTGAGAATTTGTGGTTTCCATAATTTGCATTGGATGTTAAGAGTTTAAAATAAAGGGGGGAGAGAATTGAAAGGTTTTGTTTTGTAAGGCTTACATCCCAATGTTACTCTAATCAGTCTAATGGCATATCGTTTAGTTTGTTAGATATAGTACGTCCATCGTGGTTCGAGAATGACGACTTTTGTCATTCGGGGGCTGAGGGCTTTGCACTGAGGTCTTGTGCCTCCTCATGTGGCTGGTGAGACCTATGTGAGCCCGGAATGTTCGGCCGCACACTAGGCAGGTTATTCCAGCTGGAGCTAGTGTCGTTGGCCTTGCTTTTTTTTTCTCTGATGCTTTTCTTCTGCCAGCGCTGCTGTCTAGTCCTCTGTAATTTGTGTGCCCGTTTTCACAGCCATGAGGCCACGAGGCTCTGTTATGTGCTTCTGTCTCCCAAGTGGCTGGGTTAATGCAAAAGATTGTTTGCTAGATAAGTACAGAGTGACTGAATGAACTACTGCTGATTGTGATGACTGGCCGAAGGATTGTATTATAAGTTGATGAATTCATACGAAGTGAAGAAAGAAACATCTCTCTTTATTTTCTTAAAACTTCTTTAATAATACTTCTTCAACTTTCACATCAAATTAACTTCTCAATTCAATAACAACCTGACTTGATACTTCATAAATAAAACTTAAAGATACATAAAACTTCACTTAGTATAACTTCAACTTCAACTAATAAATCTTTACTTAATGGACCCGCTAATATCACAAAACTTATAACTATTACTAATCGAGGACTGAGCGAGGACCATCGCTCTACAAGAACTACTACTATGCGAAGACCATCGCTCTACAAGAACTACTACTATGCGAGGACCCGTCTAACTGACTTTCCCCTAATTTATACTTTCTTTGATCGTACGTTCCAGAATGATGGAACCTTCTCAGATAATTATTTTAGTAGCTTTGACCTTCTAGAAGCTGACGTGTGCTATTTTTTCCCTTAACCTCTTTCTTTGATTGGATATCTAAAATTAACTTGTTTACGCTGGACACTTGCACTGGTTTGAACTCGCTTCTAGAAACTGGTCGAAATAGGTCACAGACTCGACTCGTGACACTGATCTTGAAACTAATAGTTTTGTAACAACAACAAAAAATCTCCCAGCATGCCGATAGGAAGAGAGTTCAAGTTTTTAAATGTGCCTACTTATAGGGCAGATGATGTAAAGGTAATCTGTCTTTAAGGCCTACGGTTATCGAGGGTGTCATGTGGCCAGCACAATGACCAACCGCTTTACTTTTCCACGACTAAAATCAGGTACCCATTAGAGCTGAGCGGACTCAAAGGGCGCCCTAAAGATCCCGAAATAAAAAAACTCAGTCTTCACCAGGATTCGAACCCGACTTCCGATGCCTCTCGGTTCGAAAGCCAACCGCTTTACCACTCGGCCTCCAGACCTATATAACGTCTTTGCTATAGTAAACTTTAGTAAACTAAATTTTTCGTTATGGAGAAAGACGCTAAATACTAAATAGGTTAATAGAATCTATAAAAAAAAATAAAAAATTCCTCTTTAATGACTTGTGATCTATAGAGCAGACAATGTCAAGGTCCATAGGGCAGAAGTCGGGCGCTTTACCGCACAGCCACCGCGCCTCCTAGAATCTATAAAATAATTTTATTACTGAATGAAATTATAGTTTATAGAATGCTCTCAATTTTTTTTTTAGCTTTATCTGGGTTTAAAGTCACGATCACAATTCGTGTTATTGATCTTGGTCGTCTGTATATCTTTTGGTAAGCGTCTCAGCTGCAGTTTCACATCTTTGATTGCGCATCAAAGTAGGTACCGTATTTAGAGTGTTTGTGGATTACCCGTCTTCCCTTACATGCTTATACAATAAAAATGTGGTTTATTAAATATATCTATTGAATGCATGCTCTATGAGTCTATCTAGTCTAACCTTTGGCAAACACAACAGGATTTTCAGCTTGTGTTATGAGAACCACTCTTGACTTGGATGTGTCTACTTTTTCCCATTCAGATAATATCTTTGCTATTTCTTTCACATCTTTTGTCTAAGGAAAAAAAACACATCTTTTTGAATATTAGTCTACATAATGTATTTATATGCCTACAATATACATATTTGTCTACTTATGAAGCTACATACAAAAACAAAATGTGCACGAAAGTTTGTATCTATGTCAGTAGAAGTTGCACTATGGTTTGTATCTATGTCAGTGGAAGTTATCTAAAAACTAAGAGCAGCTATTGCCAACTTACATTAAATTCATTGACCTCTGCAAATTTTAATGCTTCCTATAAAGATAAGATAAGATATTGTTATTGATTTAAATATTTGGAACCGTAAAACGTAGTAAGGTTACGATGTGTGTGTGTGTGTGTGTGTAAAAAATGTTAATGTTGGAACAAAAGACACTATACTATGAACACACACACACACAATTTTTTAAGTACGGTACATACTATTTTGTACACGTCAAGAGAAAGACAGACAGAAAAACAGACAGAAGAACCAATACAGGTAGACAAACTAACAGAAAGACAGAAAAAGAGATAGATTGATTGATTGATATCTGAAAATTGTTTACTTATTTTAGGCACAAGTTAAGTTAATTCTCATATTTTTCCCATGTGGGAGAATTAGTTATGAGTGGTGAATGACTGAATCAATCAATCAATTAGGGCTTTCGCGTATATATATATATATATATATATATATATATATATATATAGATAGATAGATAGATAGATAGATAGATAGATAGATAGATAGATAGATAGATAGATAGATTGTCATGCAATAGAGATGCCTATGGAGTCTTGGAATCACGTACTGACTCATTACCAAACCAATAGTCTGCATAAGTCAGCAAAACTAGC